GGTTCTATAGGCATAAGGTGCTATTAAGGTTCTATAGATGGATGATGTTACTAGGTGAGATGGTCTTACAAGGTGTATTACATGTGCATTCAGTATTCTGAATTTTAGCTGTAGGTGCACTATAGGAGTGATGGGCAAATTACACTATTCAATCAGACAGAAGTAGCCCAAGATTGGGGGTGGGGTTGTTGAATAACTGCCTTTCCTCTAGACTATCAATTTAAAATTAGTGTCGGCTTTGCATAAAATGTCTTAAACATTTTGTTTGTTTGTTAACCATAAAGCTGCTCAATGCTGTGCCTACCATGGTTAGCGAAACGCAATCTTTAGTATTAGAATATTTCAAACTTACTGCTGACCCAAATTCTGAAATAAATGGAGACCCTAGGATTCGGGTCTAGGTTTTAGGAACTGACGGAAACACAGAAGAAAGACCCTTCACTACAGAAACTTTGGGACAGTGTCCAGGAGAAAGTCGAGCACAAGACCAAAAACAAAGGGACCTACAGAATGAAGGACAAGAAGGGAGTGCTGTAACTGGATCTATTAAGGTGATTCTACTGGGGGAATTAAACAGATAGATAATAGTACCAACAGAATACTGGGCTCATATGATGAAGTTGGCTCACGAGTCAATTATGGTAGGACACCTAGGAGCAATGTAGATGGCAGAGAAAATCACCAACAACTTCCATTTGCTGGTGGTAATCAGAGATGTGACCAGATCCTTTAGGTCATGTGACATCTGTCAAAAGACAATATCTAGAGGGAAGTTAGCCAAGATGTTACTGGGTGAGATGCTTCTCATAGGATAGCCATTCAGCAGAGTAGCTATGGACTTAATCGGCCCACGTGGACCTGTATCTGACAAGGGCAACCAGAACATGCTGACAGTAGAAACTATGGAAGTGTTATGCAGAGTAGGCTTTCCGAAAGAAGTCTTGAGTGATAGAGGGACCCAGTTTACCTCAAAATTGATGCAAGAGGTGTAGACTTATCAGCACTAGGTAGTCTTTGCCACCCCATACAACCCCAGATGTAATTGACTTTGTGACAGAGTCAATGAAGTCATAAAGAGCATGCTGAAAAAGGTGTGCCATTAGAAATCACGTGACTGGGGAAGGTACCTGAAGACAATATTATTTGCACACTAAGAAGTCCCACAAGCGACTGTAGGATTTACAACCTTCAAGTTACTGTACAGAAGAACAGTACAAGGGTTGATACAGATATTGAAAGAATTGTAGAAGGAGAAGAAGAGTCGGAAGTGTGTAACAAATACCAGTGCATGTTATATGTCACAAACCGACTGTAGGAGACTTGTAAATTCGCTCATGAGCGTTTTATTTGGCTCAAGACAGTCAGAAGCATTTCTATGATAAGAAGGTCAATGATCGATATTTCAAGGTCGGACAAAAGGTCTTGGCTTTGCTACCTACAACAAACTCGCACTGCAGCGGAAAGGACCTTTTGAGGTGCAGGAAGTGGTCAACAGAATGGAATACATGGTGAAGTGGACAGGAAAACCAAGATCTACCATGCCAATCTGTTGAAGTGGTACTTTAAGAGGAAAGGAGATCTAACAAGTGCATCAATTGAGGAACAGATGGACATTGCAGGAGTGGCTGTCAAAGATGCAGAACCAGAATACAGTGTCATATAACATGAAAACCTACTTGACCTCAGACCACGAGGTGCAGATGAGACATACAAAGAAGTAAACATCAGTGAGTAACTGTCTGGCAAGCAGAAGAAAGAGCTACAAAACCTATGGTGCCAGTAAACAGATACAAAAGGCAAGACAGATATTGTGCTATACAAGATTCAGACCATGACCAGGAATCCAATCAAGGCAAAACCCTACCAGATGCCCTATGTGATGATAAATCTGATCAAGCAAGAAATTGGGGCAATGTTAGAAGCCAGAATAATTTACTCTTCGAATTCAGCCTATTTTTCTCCAGTGGTAATCATGAAGGAGAGGGATGGTTCAAACCACTTCTCCATAAATTTTCGGAAGCTGAATATTGTGAAAAAGTTCGACTCTAAACCTATGGGTAACCCAGAGGCTGTCATGGCGAAATTAAATAGAGACAAGTTCTTTACCAAGATCGACCTTAGTAAAGGTTATTGGAAGATCCCAATGGAGACAGAATCTTAAGAGAAAACAGTTTTTCTTTACACCAGACAGTTGCTATCAGTTCAAGAGGGTGCAGTTTGGGTTAGTCAACTCAGCAGCAACATTCAACTGCATGATGAGAGAAATGTTGCACAAAACCACCAGCATTGAGCATTATGTGGATGACATTCTGACCTACACAGCCAGATGGAAAGACCACCCGAAGAAACTCAGAGAGCTGTTCAAGTGAGTGAGGATAGCAGGTCTGATCATTAGACTATCTAAGTGCTATATTGGTTATTCTGTGCTGGACTTTGTTGAACATAAGGTGGGTGACCAACAGATAGTCATGGAAAAGGAGAAGCTAACCCATATACAAGATGCACCACTGACCAATCTGAACAAGAAAGGCCAGCCCAACAAGATGAAGTGGAAACACCCATAGCAGATGGTACCCCATAAGTTGAAGAACAAATTAGGAAGTTCACCAATTCTTAGAAGCTAGAATTCAACAAACTATTCATCGTTCAGGTTGATGCTTCATAAATTGGAAATGGAGCAATACTTTTGCAAGAACATGAAGATGTAATGTACATCAGTAAAAAAGCTGTTGAGTAGTGAGAAGAACTACTCTGTGATTGAACAAGAGTATTTGACCATCATATTTGTCATACAGAAATTCCAGAACTACCTCTAAGGAAAAGAGTTCATCATCTAGACGGACATTCAGCCCCTTGTATATATCCAGGGGCGCAAAATCGACAGTGCAAGGATCATGAAGTGGGCTTTGTACCTTCAAAACTATTGATTCCACATTGAAGCTATCAAACGGATAGTAAATGTTGGTGCAGACTGCATGAGTAGATTGTGAGACTTGTTTGAAAGAGTCTGGTATGAAACTGTCAAACGAGTGTATAAGCCAATAAATGTTTTCTTACGGTAAACAGATGTGGCAAAGAGATTGTTCATTTTGTTTATTTTGACGTAGGTGTTTATGACTTGTTTGCGATAAATTTTAACTATAAAGAAACAACAACACAATTCGCTTTTTTGAAAATAGAATATAAAAACATACGACCCACGTGTGCATAGTAATGGGGAAGTATCTTTGATTCTAAACATGTTTTAAATTCTAAATATTGACTTAAACACTAAACGTAGCTTAATTTGTGGGTAATATGACTTGATTTTTTTATTTGAGGTTTGAGATTAAAACTTTGTTTGCTCATGAAAAGAGAGATAAGAACTAATGGATACTTCGAGACAGTGTGTGGCTTCTTGGTAGGTCTTGTTTTATTTGTTTAAAATGTTCATGTGATAGAGTGTAAGACGTTAAGGGGACAGTTATTACTTTGTAATATATTATTAATTTTTGAAATTTTTGAGTGAAGACAGAAAAAGTCAGAACAAATATTAAACTCTCTGTTTAGGAGATTTAGAAAAAGGTTCGTTTGAAGGAGTCTGGTATGAAACTGTAAAACGAGTGTATAAGCCAGTAAATGTTTTCTTACGGTAAACAGATGTGGTAAAGAGATTGTTTATTTTGTTTACTTTGACGTCTAAAAAAGCTAAGTTATTGTTTTCTTCCATCTCACATGTAAAGTTTGTAGATGGATGTTGTAAGTTTAGGGTAGTGAAAGGGTAGTAAAGTATCATCAACGTATCTTATAATATTGGTTTGTAATAAAGGGGGGTAATTATCCAACTACTGACATTCGTAATAACAGAGAAAATTATTTACAAGAGTTGAACCTAGAGGTGATTTCATCGCCACTCTGTCTACCTGGTCATAAAGCTGACCATTAAAAACGGAGCGATTGTACTTGAGGGCCAATTTAAAAAAATGTTCGAACTTTTTCCGGTTAAAGCTAGAGCGCAGGACATTTTTGGTTGGGAATAACTGTTTAATAATTACTTAAATTGTTTCCTCACGTGGAGTGTTAGTGAATAATGATCGAATATCAAAGCTGACCATAATGAATTGGTTTGTATCAGGATATCTCTTGAGCAAAGGGAAAAAAAGAGTGATTAACAGTAAATACTTCCTTAGTTAGTGAGCTTAATGCAGGTGCTAGATATTTAGCAAGTTTGCAGGCGTGGGAAGTGAAAGTAGATAGAATTGGTCTCAGAAGTGAACATTTTATGTGAAGCTTTTCCTCACGCTTGAAAGGAAGCTTAAGCCAGTCATTATCAAGGAGTTTAAACTTTGTTCTGTCATTTATAATGTCTTTAATTTTGGAGACATAATTGGACCTATCTAAAATGACGACACCTGAACCCTTATCTCGACGGATAACAACGTTTCGATTACCAGTGAGTTCTTTTAGGGCAGAAAACTCAGCTTTTGTGATAGAAAAGGGTGAACGCATCAGTGATCAAAACGTCGTATCTGCCTTTGAATTTTTTAAATTTAATTTAGTGGATAGAACAACGTAAGTGAACCAAAATATTATGTATTAAATAAAGAACAACCCTCTTTTGCTGCAGACAAATTTTGTTGGCGTATTTATGTTATATTTCATCCAATCATCGATTATCTGTTTTGTGAATCTGCTTTCATTGTGCCAGTGTGTTTCTGTCTATAAGAAATCACGTATACAATGACCTGGTTTCTGAATCAATACGTATACTTATTGAACCTTCTTTATGGTAAAACTACAATAAGTATAACAACAATAAATGTAGGTATAAAATATACCAGTAAAACTCGGATTTGTATATTACAAGAAGTTGTTTTAGGTATTAGTTCTGTAGATGTTAGTTTTGTAGATATTAGTTGAACATGGAAATTATGGAAATTTTTTAGCAAACAAATAGAAAACATTAGATTTAAAAAGGTTTTCTAAAGTTTGTGTCTGAGATAAATTTCGATTTACAGTACCTGAATAACATCAGAAGGATGACTACAAAGACAACATGATATTGGATTGCTGCACTTTGGTACCAAGATTGTCGAATGCACTATAAATACATAAAGTACTATTAACAAACTTCTACAGTAAATAAATAGCAATTGCTAATGTTACACCTTAATGTGCAATGAGAAACTTTTTCAAAAATGTGAAACACTAGTTCGCTGAAAATCACACTTCAAATTAAAACATATTTACGTTGATTTGCTAATTATATTCACCTTTAACTAGGATATTTTTATTAGGACAGTTTCTAGCTACTAAACGAGTTGTAAACTTCCAAAATAATTGAAATAAGCAAACGATAACGGAGCTTTCAACTTTTTAGTTAATCGTAAGGCCTGGCATGGCGTGGTAGTTGGCGCGCTCGATTCGCAACATGTTGATCACGAGTTAGAATCAAATCACCCAATATGCTCATTGTTTCATCTTCGGGACATTATAATGTGACGATTAGAATAGCCCAAAAGTTGGCACTGAGTGGTGATGACTAGCTGGCTTCCATTTAGTCTATCACTTCTAAATTAGGAAAGGCTAGTGCAGATAGCTCTCGAGTAGCTTTGCGAAAAATTCAAAATAATCAAACTTAAGCGTAAAACTTTGGTTAATTTATAAAACTGACCATTCTCCATGCATTTGTTATATTACTTATCGCTTACTCTTGCCCGACCTAAATTATAGTATTGTAGTTTTTACCAGACTCACTTAGAATATACTTTTAGGGAGTAACATTATGATTAGACTTGGCATGGCCATCTGAGGGTCGAGGTTTTGAATCCCGCCCCCGAACATGCTTGCCTCTTTCAGCCATGGGAACGTTATAATGTGACAGTTAATTCCACTATTCGTTGGTAAAGAATAGTCCCCATTGGCGGTGAGCGGTGGTGACTAGTTGCTTTCCCTCTAGTCTATCATTTATAAATTAGGGATGATTAGCGCAGATAGTCCTCGAGTAACTTTGCGCGAAATTGAAAAACAAACAAACATTATGAATATTGATTAGACACATTTCTGTAAAATAATATTTAGACCAAGTCAGAAAATTGAGGATCAATTACTGAAAACAATAAATTTCTCGTTTGTCTGAAAGCGAATTGAACACAAGAATTAAGATATAAAAGACGTATGAAAGAGGATGGAGCATGTTTAATATATTTCACACTCCAAATATTTTAACATAAATATGTATAACATCGGAAGACGTGGGTTTTGACTTACTTAACCTAATATATAAATGTATAATATATATATATCAGTGAATGTAAATGATAAATTTAAAGGTTATAGTCCAGCATTGCCGGTAGGTGATTTGCATTTCATGTAGCGTATAGCTTTTCTTATTTAATAGTTGTTGGGTGACTTTCATATTTCTCACTGAATAGACATGATCGCTTCTAAAAGGCACTATTGTCTTACAATGTCGTCCATGTTCCAGAAGTTGTTGATATACAAGAGGTTTTTCCACCAACTATGTCGACAATTGTCCACCATTTGGTTAATAACCACGTGCCATAAAGGTCCACTTCCCAAGAGAGGCAGAAGAAAAACAAGCACCATACAAAAACCATAGGCTGGTGTTAATCTAGTTAGATATGAAACAAAGATGAATTTAAAACCTAGTGTTCGGATAATTCACGTCAAAATACAAAACAAAACTATAGCTGACCATAATAATTAAATAAAGTGTAGATGGTATTTTTCATGTTAAAAACAAACATGTACATAATAATGTAAAATATTTTAATATATATATACTGAATAATTAAAACGTATTAAATTTCATTCAACTTAAGCCAGAAGTAATTTGCCTATTTGAAGCATTAAACATAATTTGTGTCAACAAAATTAGGTCTAAATACAAACTTATGTTCAGAATGAAGGTGACCATAACTTTACACATTTAACTAAAACATGAGTAGTAAATAAATTCATTCATACAAATGTATTATTATATAATAATACATAATCTATTAGGCCGGTGAAGCACGGTTTATAGATCGCTTACAAGGCATTAGGTTACAACATCTTTAATGGCCCTATACGAGTCTTCAGTAAGAAAGATGTAATAATATCTCGTCCACACACTTATTCAGATTTAGCATTGTGTGAAAAGCTTCGCTGGCAGCGGAGAGCAGCACAGAAAGTGTGTTGTGGAAATACTTTTATTTAGAATTCTTAGAGAGGTGGTCCATCTTAAAATGGGCAAACTCTCTAAAAATCTCTATTTGATACTTGTTTAAGCAAGTATTAAATACAGTTTTTAGAGAGATGACACATATTTAACAAGTATTAAATAGAGATCTTCTATACTGATTGTCCATTTTAAGTAAATAAGTATTAAAGAGATCCTCAAAGAGTTGAACCAGAATATGATAAAGTAAGATACTCTATTAAGTATACTAAAACATGTCCTAGGAAGATGTGACGTTGTCGTCCATTCTAATTTAAAATCCTAGCAAAGGCCAATAATGAACAGAGCATATGAATTAAATAATTCTTGGTCATTCACAATCTAATGCCAGAGATTATTGGGTAGGATCAGTAACTAAGCTACTTCTAGTCTTCTAGGCCATCTCTCTTAGGGTCGCTGTTTCACATTCAAGATGGATAACCTCTTTAACAAGCTATGTCCAATACTAAGGATAATTTCGCAGATGTATCTTTAAATCTTATTGTCGCCAACAGTTTTTTTAGACTGTTTTAATATAATAGAATGCAGTTCATAAATTGGCTTCTCCGTGTTTTCTGCAAGGCTGTATTGGATCCACTAAAAGAAAATTTTTGACCTGATGTAAAAGACTTAATAACACCAAAAAATTTTTATGTAAAAATTATTTCCACAATTATGTCACAAATAGAATATTTCGTAATAATTTGAATAAGTGAAGTTGTAATAAATTATGTATATCTCAAGTTCCTAAATATTCTGTTATTATCATCTTATCATACATGGGTAAACATTCTTAAATGACTAAAAATCAGTTTAAAAAATGTCATCAGAAGGTATGTGAAACCTTATACGTGTTAATTATCTTATATCGATGAATCAAAATTTGACTAAATTTTCATTACAATATTTAGAAAATTTCTTGTAAAAATATAGTACAAGCCAATATTTCTTTTGTGGTACACTTTACAATGGAAGTGATCATTCATATTGTTATTACTAACTATAGTGTCAAGAAATATATGGTTTCACCTATATATTTGTATGTAACGATTCAACATCAAAGCTGGTACAACGACCTTCGTCTGTCGGAATTCAACCAAAAAACCAGTTACAGCATGGTTATTAGTTTCGATGCTAGAAATTAGAGGACGCAAAGTACATCCTTCTTTATGAAATTTAGGTAGACCATAAAAAAAAAAAACTACTGGATGACTGCTGCTGTTCATAGAGAATATTATCTTTTTATCAGTTATCATATGTACATCGGCATTATTGATTCCTTCGGATCAGTGGCGCCATGGTGCAGCTTTACAAACTTATTTGAACCACGTGTTATATATAAAGTTCACTATGGAACATCGACAAGATCATAAACTTTCAGTTCACAACAGTTTGATTAGTAATAATGACGATCACGTTCGATGTAAAGTGTACCACAAATATTATTGGCTTTTACTTTAATTCTGCGAGATTTATTCCAAATATTTTAATGAAAATTTAGTCAAATTTTAATCCATCGATAAAAGATATCTAGCACATATGAGGTTATTGCATAAAGGATTTAATAACATCAAATAATTCTAATGTTAAAATTACTCCACATTTATATCATGAATTGAATATTTCGTAATTATTTAAATTAACGAGGTTGTAGTAAATCCTGTATAAATGAAGTTTCTAAATATCGTTGTTTTTATCATACCACACATGGGCAAACATTCTTTAATTATTAAAAATTAGTCAAAACATGTCATTGGAAGTGTTTTCCGCAGACACAGCTATATAGTGTGTGTTTAAACCTAACTGTCACCTACAATGTTTTTAGATTTAAGGACCAGATTCACACCTTAAAATAATCGAATACAGTTTATAAATGTACTTGTCCCTGCTGTCAACAAGACTACATTGAGTCTACTAAAACAAAATTGTTAACACGAGTTAAAGAGCATGTTAACTTAATATCACCTATTAAGTCAAGCATACGAGAACATGCCATAGGAAAATGTCATGTCGTCGACTCTTCTAATTTGTTTTAAAAGGGTCAATGATGAACAGAGCCTCTGAATAAAAGAAACTTTGGTCATTCACAAGTTGGGACCAGAGATTAAGTAAGCTATTTTTAGTTTTATAAAATGTAGCCGTCTACTTAGAATAGAGATGACTTACCTTAACTAAGTATTAAAATGAAATTCTTACGGAGATAGACTATATTCAATAAACAACGAGTGCTGTATATTATCATTTCAAAAATACATTTCTACAAGAACGAAATCGAATACTCTTAGAAATATCCTTATAATACGCATGCGCATTGGTAATGGGTCTCAACAAAGCAATAAACAAATAACAATAATAAGCACAATTTATTACTGACTGTCACTTAAAACTTGTAAACATCGTTACATGAGTATGGTATCTAGAACAGTTTTTATCTTTTCTTTCATAAATACTTATATTAATATGCATACCTCCAGTATCTGTGAAGATACATTTTCAGAATATTTAAGCAACCGTTTTGGCTCTGCAAACGTTTCCAGTTCGAATATACTAATAAAAGTCCACTGAAAAGAAAAATGTATAGTCCAATAAAATGTAATTAATCGTATTGAAGTCCACGTAGACATAGCTCTATTCAAACACTTGAGATTTACAAATTCTTCTCATGTTATTGGTAGATCTGAGTGGCTGAAAACGTTTGTAACATTTGCGAAAAAGGTGTGATATAGACACAAGTTTTTGTAAGTCTAGACACGAGAAACAATATAGGTGTGTAAAGCTGGAAACCTTGAGCTTGTCCAGTCCGTTGTTGTTGATGCCCATATAAGTCGCGACCAATGTTTAGCGTTCCGTAGAAGAACACAAGTTTTATTATTATGATTATGGTTTGATATTTCCACCTAGAGATATTAAATTGGTTTATAGAGAATTATTTAGGCTCGTGAATTTAGCTGACTATTGACTCCTGTACTTCCCTGCTATTATGATACGTCATGCTATCCTTCATTTAGCTGACTGTTGACTCCTGTGCTTCCCTGTCATTATGATACGTCACGCTATCTTCCATTTAGCTGACTGTTGACTCCTGTGCTTCCCTGTCATTATGATACGTCACGCTACCCTCCATTTAGGTGACTGTTGACTCCTGTGCTTCTCTGTCGTTATGATGCGTCACGCTACCCTCCATTTAGCTGACTGTTGACTCCTGTGCTTCCCTGTCATTATGATGCGTCATGCTACCCTCCATTTCCCTGGCTGTTGATTCCTGCGCTTCCCTGCCTTTAACATGGGTGATGCTACCCTATATATAGCTGGCTGTTGAATTCTGTGCTTCCAGTCATTATGATGCGTCATGATAATCTTCATTTAGCTGACTGTTTATTCCTGTGCTTCCCTGTCATTATTTTGTGTCATGCTAGCCTGCGTTTAGCAGTGCAACTCCTAATTAAGAGGAGACCATTTCTTTACCTCGATTCGACCAATGAGGTGCAGGCATAGATAAGTGATGCTGTGCAGTGTGAGTGAAGTAGGGAGCCACAATAAGTGGTGATGTGTAGTGTGAGTGAAGTAGGGAGCCACAATAAGCGGTAATGTGTAGTGTGAGTGAAGTAGGGAACCACAATAAGTGGTGATGTGTAATGTGAGTGAAGTAGGGAGTCACAGTAAGTGGCGATGTGTAGTGTGAATGGTGATGTGTAGTGTGAGTGAAGTAAGGAGCCACAATAAGTGGTGATATGTAGTGTGAGTGAAGTAGGGAGCCACAATAAGTGGTGCTATATAGTATGAATGAAATAGTGAGCCACAATAAGTGGTGCTGTGTAGTATGAATGAAGTAGGGAGTCACAATAAGTGGTGATGTGTAGTGTGAGTGAAGTAGGGAGCCACAATAAGTGGTGCTTTGTAGTGTGAGTGAAGTAGGGAGCCACAATAAGTGGTGCTGTGTAGTGTGAGTGAAGTAGGAGTCACAATAAGTGGTGATGTGTAGTGTGGGTGAAGTAGGGAGCCACAATAAGTGGTGATGTGTAGTGTGAGTGAAGTAGGGAACCACAATAAGTGGTGATGTGTAGTGTGAGTGAAGTAGG